ACATACTGTGACTCAAAATGGTGATGTGATTTATATAGACAGTGACCGTAACATCATTAAACTGTCTAAAGATAAAGTCAAGACGACACTGATACCATACACATCACCATGGAGACCATACAGTGTCTACAGCTCCCCCTCCACTGGACACCTGCTGGTCGGGATACGTAATGATGAAACAGCTACAGGCCAGGTAAACCGTTACACTAAAACAGGTAAACACATACAGACCATACAGCACGACAACACAGGTCAGGGACTGTATAACTGGCCTATGTACATCACAGAGAACCGCAATGGAGATGTTATTGTGTCTGACTTCCTCCGAGGTGTAGTGGTGACAGACAGAAGAGGGAGACATCGCTTCTCCTACACAGGTCCTCCATCAGGATCAGGACTATGGCCACGCGGAATCTGTACTGACGCGCTGTCACACATCCTGGTGTGTGATGGTTACACCATCACAATACATATCATTGATAAAGATGGTAACTACCTGACACAGATAGATACAGTACAACACGGGATAGTCAAACCATACGGCCTGAGTTATGATGACATCACCCGCTCTGTCTGGGTAGGATCATTAACCAACAACACAGTGAACATCTACAGACTTATCTATGGAGGGGAGGATCTGACTGGTAAGTTATACTGAAGTATTATTATATGTTTGTTTACAATGTTTAGTGTGTACAATATATTATAGTCATTGTTTTGTGTGTAATTACAAGACATTACGGAATTATCATAGTCATGATAGTGATAACGTTTAAGTGTTAATACATTACATGCTTAATTGAATTCTAACTTGTGTTATGTAACAAGAAATGTTTTTAAGAAAGGATATTAATAGATAAGTTGTCAAATTAATAATGATTTGATTTTCATATTAGATTTAATGAGACATGTTAGAGTTATTTTAATGTGTACTTAGTTGTTAACTTTGTTGTCTGTGACAAACAATTCCTGATTTTGTACAGATTGTCTAATGATTTGTTAACATGGTTAAATAACTCTCATTGATTCTGTCTTCTATTTGGGTTAACATGATATTTTTATATTCCTCTGCTAAATGGTTTGTAGGTTAAATTTATAGATCACTATAAATGTCAGGAAATGGAAAAATAATTGTAGAATTGGGGTTCATGAGTGTTGGAGGGGGGGGTTAATGTCATAGACCTTATCATTAGATAATATATACTTTGAATACGTCATTCAATGTGTTAAAACAAAGTTTAATCACATTGACTACAAACATTTTGTACAGTACTGACAGTGAGATATAGACACCATTGATATGAACACAGCTCTGTCTAGGAATGTTGTGTATTTCTGTAGCAGGTGTTCAGTAAATCTACACTGTGTACTGGGGTGACATTTTACATGTATATTACATGGAGATTTTATGGTTAAAATGAAACCAATGCCAGAATTATAGAGTCATATCAGTGTAACCCCCCCTCCCACCCCCAACTTCACCACACACACACACACTCCCTCACCCTCTCCCTTCCTCACACACACACACACAATTTTTGGGGGTAGGTTTGGGTGGGAAGGAGGTGTCACACAGTGTCTCACTTTATCATGCTATTTAATCTTTTTCTTTTAAGTACTGTTTTAGTGAAAAAACCCTTTTTGTTCTGTATTTACACAATGCATTATGTTACAAAGTGATAATTCTCAGAAAGAAAACAAGCAATTGTGATTTGATGTGGCCCCTGGGCCTCTTGTTAAAACTTCTTAAGGTTGATAAGATGACGCAGTTAGTTTTTAGCTCTACTGATCAGAGACCAGAAGAGCTTATGCGATAGTAATGCGTCCGGCGTCCGTTCGTCTGTCTAGCTGTCCGTCTGTCTGTAAACAATTTTTCAAAATGCTACTCCTCCTACAGTTTTGGTCTGATTTCAATATACGAGGATACATAATTCTGTGTATCAGTTTTTGATTTTGATAAACGGTGTTGCCATGGTAACTAAAAATAGAACTTCTGTGAAATTCCTTTATAATGCTACTCCTCCTACAGTTTTGGTCTGATTTGAATATAACTTGGCACACAAGTAGACTACACTAAGATACATAATTCTGTTTATTGGTTTTTGATTTCGGTAAAAGGTGTTGCCGTGGTAACTAAAAATAGAAATTTCTGTGAAATTCCTTTAAAATGCTACTCTTCCTACAGTTTTGGTCTGATTTCAATATAACTTGGCACACAAGTAGACTACACGAAGATACACAATTCTGTATATCATTTTTTGATTTCGATAAAAGGTGTTGCCGTGATAACTAAAAATAGAATTTCTGTGAAATTCCTTTAAAATGCTACTCCTCCTACAGTTTGGGTCTGATTTAAATATAACTTGGCAAACAAAAGACTACACTAAGATACATAATTCTGTGTATTGGTTTTTGATTTCGATAAAAGGTGTTGCCATGGTAACTAAAAATAGAAATTTCTGTGAAATTCCTTTAAAATGCTACTCCTCCTACAGTTTTAGTTTGATTTCAATATAACTTGGCACACAAGTATACTACACTAAGATACACAATTCTGTATATCGTTTTTTTATTTCGATAAAAGGTGTTGCCGTGGTAACTAAAAATAGACATTTCTGTGAAATTCTTACGAAATGCTATCCTCGTACAGTTTTGGTCTGATTTCAATATAACTTGGCACACAAGTAGACTACACTAAGATACATAATTCTATATATCGGTTTTTGATTTCGATTAAAGGTGTTGCCATGGTAACTAAAAATAGACATTTCCCTGAAATTCTTACAAAATGCTACTCCTCTTACAGTTTTGGTCTGATTTCAATATAACTTGGCACACAAGTAGACTACACTAAGATACATAATTCTACGTATCGGTTTTTGATTTAGGTGAATGTTGTTGCCATGGTTACTAAAAATAGAGATTTCTGTAAAATTGTTTCAAAATGCTACTCCTCCTAAAGTTTTGGTCTGATTTCAATATAACTTGGCACACAAGTAGACTGCACTACGATACATAATTCTATACATAGGGTTTGATTTCAATGAAAGATGTTGCCATGGTTACTAAAAATAGAAATTTCGGTGATTTTTTTTCAAAATGCTACTCCTCCTACAGTTTTAGTCTGATTTGAATATAACTTGGCACACAAGTAGATAACACTAAGATACATAATGCGGTATATTGGTTTTTGATTTCAATGAACGGTGTTGCCGTGGTAACTAAAAATAGAAATTTCTGTAAAATTGTTTCAAAATGCTACTCCTCCTACAGTTTTGGTCTGATTTCAATATAACTTGGCACACAAGTAGACTGCACACTAAGATCCATAATTCTATGTATCTGTTTTTGATATCGATGAATGGTGTTGCCAAGGTTACTAAGAATAGAAATGTCTGTAAAATTGTTTCAAAATGCTTCTCCTCCTACAGTTTTAGTCTGATTTCGATATAACTTGGCACACAAGTAGACTACACTAAGAACATAAAGAGATTTTATCAAGGATCATTATTCTATTTATTGCTGTTGTTAAGTTTCAATTCCCAACTGCTTAAGTACTTTTCTCTTCCTTTGCTATAAGTACAAACCAGTAGAGCTTCAGTCTCGATAGAGACTTCTGGTTTATTAGCAGAATAGCTCACCTGAGCCGTAGGCTCAAGTGAGCTTTTCTGAACATTTTATCCGGCGTCCATTGTCCGTCCGACTGTAAACTTTTCACATTTTCAACTTCTTCGTAAGAACCACTGGGTCAATATTAACAAAGCTTGATACAAAGCATCCTTGAGTGATGGGGAATTCAAATTGTCAAAATGAAGGGCCAAGTCCCCTTACAAGGGGAGATAATCAAGAAAAGATGAAAATAGGGTGGGTTTATTAAAAATCTTCCTCTTAAGAACCACTTGGCCAGAAAAGTTGAAACTTATGTGGAAGCATCCTGGGGTAGTGTAGATTCTAAATTATTAAAACCATGACCCCCAGGGGTAGGATGGGGCCACAATAGGGAATCTAAGTTTTATATAGAAATATATAGGAAACATCTTTAAAAATCTTCTTCTCAAGAACCACTGGGCAGAAAACCTGACACTTATGTAGAAGCACCCTGGGGTAGTTTAGATTCTAAATTGTTAAAACCATGACCCGGGGGGGGGGGGGGGGGGGGGGGGCACAACCACAATAGGGAATCCAAGTTTTACATTGAAATATGTAGGGAAAATCTTTAGAAATCTTCTTCTCAAGAACCAATGGCAAAGAAAAAATGAAACTTGTGTGGAAGTATCCTTGGGAAATGAAAATTCAAAACTATTAAAATCATGACCCCTGGGGATACTAAGGGCGGGGTCACAGTAGGGGATCCTAGTTTTACATAGAAATGCATACGAAAAATTCTCTAAAAATCATTTTCTCAAGAATCAACAGGCCATAAAAGCTGAAACTTGTGTTGAAGCATCATGGGGGTAGTGTTAATTCTAAATTGGCAAAATCATGACCCCCGGGGGTAGGGCGGGTGGTGCCACATTGACACAATAGGGAATCCACGTTTAACATAGAAATATATAGAAAAAAAAATTTAGAAATTTTCTTTCTAAGAACCACTGAGCCAGTAAAGCTGAAATTTATACGGAAGCATTCTGGGTAGTGTTGATTCTAAATTGTTAAAATCCTGACCCCAGGGAGGGGGAGGATATGGCCTCAATATGTAATACAAGGGGGGGGGATTCTGGTTGAAAAAAGGCATCTCCAAAGTTACTCAGGTGACTCATGTCACCCATGGACCTCTTGTTTCATGTGTAAAAGACATAACTATTTTTCTGCTACAAAAGTAGTATTTTATTATCTATGTTTGTAAACTTTAAACAGAGGAATTAATTTTTTTTTTGACAAAAAATGTTTAATTTTGTCACAACTGACCTCAAGTTGTGATGGGTTCTTTAAATTTGTATTAACAACCCAAAACAAATAATATTTTGGATGACCTTCTGTTCACCAAGAAATAACAAGATTCATAATAATTAACAATAAATTTATCTACATATGTACAATAAACATGAAAACGGCGAAAAGTTCAATCATGGTCATCACTGGACACATTCACATTCACACCACGTCGCAATGTATGGTCCACCATATTGTCCCTTCGGGTCCATCATATCCTAAAAGTAGCCTCACCACATACACCAATCCTCCCGTCCAGAACAAAAGCTTAATATACAATTTTGGTCACCTACAATTTTCATAGGGTTTTCTAATAAAATATTCAAAACACACATCTGTTCAATATACTAGATTTTACAAACAAATTACAGAAGAATATATTTTTGCCGTTTAACAAGTAAATGAATTAGAGCATATTAAATATATACATACTCGCTATATTGCTAACAGTTTTCCAAAGAAAATTGCTCTTTAAAGCTAACAACAAAAATATTGCAAAGTGTAAAAACTTACTGAGCTGTGGCATTTTATACATAAAAATCATACTTTCCGCCCCCAGGTCTTGCTCTCAACACTGCTACAAAACATCCTTGAATCCCAAGATCACACAGCAGGGGAAACAGTACACACCCAAGATCACACAGCAGGGGAAACAATACACACCCAAGTTCATGAGTAATATAAAAGCACACAGCCAAGATTACTAAGCATGGGTAAAGTATAACTCCCGGCATCCAGACCTTATCTGACAAACACTAGCCAACACCCAGTATATAAATAACTGACCAAACTACTCAAACGGGCTAGACGAGTATACGTGTGATAAAAATAGAACAAGTACAACTCAGTGACCAATAGTGCATAAACGAAATAAACGATAACTCCTAATGCCCAAATAAAGATAACTCTTACCAATACCTGTACAATAAGCTAATATTAATTATTAAACATTGACACAATGTCACTTGTGACAAATTTCAATCCTTGTTCATAGCCCATGACGTAAATCATACGACCAAAGCCATAATACCAGATAATATTCTGAGACTGATTTAGAAAAGAAAAGATATCAAAATAACAGATCTAGAGTATATATTTTTTTTTTCCTGGAACACCTGTAACATGCATTTTAAAAAAATTCAAATTCTAGTGCTTCATATATATTTGTTCTGATGTCCATTCTGAGAACATTCTGTTTTTGTTATAGATCCAGACAGTGATGATATAAATAAAGTGGATGAGTTGAAGAAGTTTCTGAGGAAGGAGAAGACAACTGTGTCCCATGCCAGAGGAATAATTGTTGGCTGTGCTGAGGCTGGAAAAACAACGCTACTGAAGAGATTAAGAGGGCAAAGTCAAACTGTCAGCAAAGCTACAAAGTCGTCCAGGGGACTAACAACATTGCTGAAGAGATTAAGATGGAAACGCCAAGATGTCAGTGAAGTTACCGAGTCCACCAGGGGACTGGAAGTCCATCAACATGTCTTCATTGTTAGAGATGGAGTTTTAGAAGGTAGAAAAAATTCTGAGACATATTCAAAGGACAAATGAAAAAGACACTTTTCAAACAGAAATACCTCTTTTGAGTTTTTGTATGAAACCCAGTTTTAAAGAAACTATTCATCAAAATTTATATGCTGAATACACATGTCACATGTATACACATGTTGCCTTACTAATGAAGCCTGGGCGGGGCATTCATGTCCTGTGGACATATTTTTATGCCCCGCCATGAATATGGCCGGGGCATATAGTGTTTGTTATGTCTGTCTTCCGTCCTTCCGTCCTTCTGTCCTTCCATCACACTTTGCATTTAGCTCTGTTCAAAGCTAAGTTTCAAAGAAACTATCCAAGATATTTTCATCAAACTTCATATGCTGATAGATATTGATGAGAGCTATGCAACTGCATCAACATTTTTTGACCTTGACCTTTCCTTTGACCTTGACCTCACTTGAGCCGGGGGTAGGGTGGGGCCAAAATGGCCGATCAAAGTTTTACATAAGAATATATAGGAAAAATCTTTAAAAATCTTCTTCTCCAGAACCACTGGGCCAGGAAAGATGAAACTCATGTGGAATCATTCTCAGGTAGTGTAGATTCAAGTTTGTTCAAATCATGAACTCTGGGGGAAGGGTGGGGCCCAATGGCCGATCAAAGTTTTACATAGGAATATATAGGGAATCCTTTTAAAATCTTCTTTTCAAGTACTTCAAAGCCATGCTTATAGTGATATCTATAGGGAATCATCCTCAGATAGTGTAGATTCTAGTTTATTCAAATCATGACCTCCTTGGGGTTAAAATTCAACCCCCCCCCAGTAAACTTTCAGTTCTGATCTGATATGTGCTTTTTCCTAACCAATTGCTCAGGTGATCGATGTGGCCCCTGGGCCTCTTGTCTTAAATTAGTGTTTAGCTCAGTTTTAAACATACCATTTAAGATGGTGTTATCAAACTTCACATGTTAATATAAACTTGCCTGGATGATGCATCTACGCAGTACAGTTAAGGCAACACATGAAAAAAATATGGTAATGAAGTCATAATGAGGTCTGACGTCATGACAGTTGCTCCGCCCTGATTGATCCATATAAGGAAATGGTGCTCAAAATAACAATTTACCGATATCTGCAAGAATTTGTAATAAACAGCAATATCTTCATGTTGAAATAGAAAATAATTAGTGATTTTCTCGTATATATAATAGCATGTCTTTAAAATAATTCTCTTTTAATTGTGTCGTTTGTCTGCATTCGGCTTCAGCCAAGCGCTTGCACTCGGTGACACGGAATGTTGTTTACATCTAAAAACGTGGCGACATCAGCTGAGATTTGCAGTGGATTTAAATGCAATAACCACACAATCTTTAAAGAAAATAGGGATAAAATAAGAGACACGACTTTGTTTCTTCCTTTTACGAGAATATGAGGACATTATTTCGGAAAATAGCAGAAAACTGAGACGATATGCACCAGATCCGTAGATCCATCACTGCACTGAAATTCCAGGCCAGGTAGGCCCCTATGTATACGCATATGTAGGTACATGTGTAGATCTAGAATATGTAGACATGCTTTTGTTAACATAAAAAACCCGAGTGTGCTCATGTTCATTTCACATCATATCACAGTCAGTGAAAAACTGTAATGCAGTGCCTTGTGTGTAACCCCCCCCCCTACTAAGTTGCACACATTTTAGAATTATTAAAAATTAATTGCACTAAATATGTACTGAGTTCCTGTAAATTAGGTCATTTTCTCTGAAACAATATGCGTAATAATGGAGGTCATCAGTAACAAAAATTTAAGCTAAATTAAATGATATGTTTTCATTGTTCCAGTCAATGATTCACTAGTGGCTACAGTAGGCCTATACAAGCTATGATGTCTTTTGATATATAAATACACAATTAAAAAAAAATATCAGTATTATTGTGTTGAAAACATAGAAGCCCCACTTCAGATCTATGGTGAACCGTTCACGGTAGCCTAGTGGTAGAGCGTTCGCTTCGTGATTGGGAGGTCCGGGTTCGATTCTCGTTCCCGGCGCCGCGTCAAACCTAAGACGTAAAAATAGGTAGTGACTGTTCCTTCGCCAAGCGCTTGGCATCAGAAGTGAAAGTCACGGGTCTTTCGGATAAGACCTTAAAAACGTAGGTCCCGTGTCACAGTAGGCGCTGGCACGATAAAGAACCCTCACTGCTCAATGGCCCTGAGTGCCGAGTATAGGTCTAAATTTGAAGCCCTTCACCGGCATACGGTGACGTCTCCGTATGAGTGAAAAATTCTCAAGAGGGACGTTAAACAATATACAATCAATCATACAATCAGATCTATGGTTGTAATTTTCTAGAATTTCTAAAGTAATGAAAAAAATATTCATTTTTTGTTTAGATTACATGTACATTAAATTATTTATATAATATTTTTATCATTGTAGCTGTCAAGAGTATCAGGCTTAAAGAATGAATAAATAAAAAATGCATCATTTCTCCACAGGGTATGTATACTTCTAAAGCATTTCACATTTTTAAAGTTTGCATGTACTTTACATTTTTTTTCACTTTGGTAAAGGAGAAACTCCGATAACTATTGTACTAAATGTCAGAAGTTTCACTTTCCCAGAGAAGTTTTGTAACACATTTTTTTTCCATTTATATGAATTACATAAATTCACTACAGTATACAATGTAGCATAGTTTTTTGTAAAATGTAATTCCATTTTATTCTACAATGTATATTTAGTAATTTCATAGCATATAACTGCATATTATATTGTGTTGTAGGCATAGCTATTCCTGTGGACTAATGGATTTATTCAGGCAGGAACTTAATCTATCATTTAAGGAAAATGGTATGCTCAATATTAGCTATTAACCATACAAAGTTTTGATAATAAAACTAACAGAAGAATTGAAAACATGTATATGCATTCTATGTTAAATGTTTCAATGCATTTTTTAATTTCATTTTTTAAAACACAAATTACTTTCAATAATGGTATTTCCTGATTTTCTCATATTTTCAGAATTCATTTTATCCACAAGAACATGAAGTGATGGAAATAATTTGCACCTGCCCAGCATTCCTAGGCCTACAGTCTATCATTGGATTTGAAAAGAAATGTTTATTTAATAAATTTTCTAGATAAACAAAATAATTTGACTTTTTAATTTATTTACTGTTCATGTGTTGAAAAGGCCATTAAGATTTGAAAATCTTAACTTGCATACTATTTTGTGTGGAGGGTACTAATGTCCATAAAGATCTTATTTCCAGCATGTGTATTGTGTTCATTTATTTTTTAATAATATTAAAAAAAACCCCAGAAGACTAGCTATCCTCCTAATTGATTCAAAATAGGATAGGGGACCACCATTTGATTCTGAGGGAAAGGGGGGGGGGGGGGGGGCAGGCAGTTTTCCAAATCAGATTTTTTTTTATTTTCATGTCAATGAAGGACAGATTAATATTTATTTCCGATTAATAAAATGAAGGACAGATTATTTGTTTTCCCCTTCATTGAAAAGTCTAACATGAAAAAAAAATGTTTAAAACTCGGAGATCACTGATCTGCAAGTATTTATTTCTAAGATCTGCCAGCCCCTCCCCTCGGAATAAAATGGCTGTCCCCTTGACAAATACAGGAGTATAACCCAATCCTTTCTTATTAGTTCCTAAAACTTAAAACTTAGTTTATATCCCTTAATTACCAGTAAGCGGTCTGAATAACCGTCTGATTGAAAGCGATCGTAGATCTGAACATGATCTCGTATGCAGAAAGAAAAAAAAATATGAAAACAAGTTTGTGTACGATAGGCGTCGGAAGCAAATGAAAGGGGGCTAATTGAAAGGGGGAGGGGGCTTAACCAAAAGAAAAGGTAAATTCAAATGCCTACATTACGTACATGTATATAATTTGAAAATAAGTATGGAGGCTAATCCCCAGCCCCCCCCCTCCCCCCACCCCGTTCCGACGCCTATGCGTACAGTAGTGTGAGAGGGGAATAGATATATACTTAATTATTAATGAAGGCTATATTTTAATTAACCATTTGTGTTCTCCTAAATATATCGGCAATATTTAGACCTGTTTGTAAGTAATACTACATGTATATACACATCATTGAGGAAATGCGTGAGGTTTGAAAGACATTTAATGTACACAATATATGGAGAACGAATACACAGAAAAGAAAGAAATGTCAACGATTTTTATGCATACCGTTTGATAAAGTAAAAAAAAGGAGTCCAGCCCTGTCCGCATGTATATTTATTTAAAATTTACGAGGTAAACAAACTATATCAAGTACTCAAGAGTTATCTCCCATGCTGGGTCAATGATGCGTTTGAAAACTAAAATTAGATTGACTTTTCCAAGATTTCAATTTTTAATCAAAAAGTGCAAGGGCAAGGCGACAATCTAAAAATTAGGTTTTTATTTTAAATTATTTATTTTATTGTATAGTTTTCAAAAAATGATGCTCATTTCTTTGTAATCCTATAGTTAATTTATAATTCGCGATGAAATTAGGAAAATATCCTATTTTTCATACATTACTGTCTGTTTTAGCTGAATAACTTAATTATATCGAAAAACTAACTGAATGAGCATCACTTTTGAGAAAGTATAGATACATAGTGACAACATAAAACATTTTGCAGTTAATTTTTTGTTTGCCTTGCCCTTGCACTTTTTGGTTAAATTTGACATCTCATTTCTTGACCTAAAATCGGAGCCCACGTGACTTCAGGGGGTCACATGATGTCAAAAAATACCGATGTGAAAAGCGATGGACATACTCTTCAAGATAAGAAATAGCTATTTTAACTAGAGTGTCTTTCTCAAAAATAAAACTGTTAAACATTATATGTATCGAATTCCGTTAGTTTTTATAGAAAATGTTGCCTTAACTGTACTGCGTAGGGATGAACACTACCAGACTTGCTTCGGATACTGGATCTGACCTACATTTTCCAGATGAGTGACCAGGTTTAAGTGTTTGGAGCAG